GATTGCTCTAAAAGGAATGTGTCCTGACTGTTGATCGACGGGATTCAGATTAATGTTAATAGAGCATTATGAGCATTGTTAATAGAGCATTAATAGCATTCTTGAAACACAAATCTGAGGGCTACAAAGCGAAAAAGTCTAACACTTCTCGCCCGAGCAGTTGAATATGTTCTTGAATGAAGTACCTGATTAGCTATATCTTTTTAAAAAGGTAAGTAACTGCAATCACAATCATAATCAAGTTGTGCTAAGTAAACAAATACTTATTCAGTAACGTATTACTTTTGCAGGTTGCAGTAATATTTGGTATAATGGGTGCATGTCGACGACAGGAGCTGTATAATATTGAATTGAAGGATGTAAAGTCCATTTATTAGTGTAGATTATAGAATAAAACATAAATATTTTTTTGTGCCTTAAAAATAATTTATTTATGTAATACGAAAAGTAGGATAATGATAAAAATTACGATAAATGTGCTTTTCATGAAAAAGTGAAAAATATGGCGAAATTATTTCGTTATTTGCAATTTTGCGAAAATCAATAGTCAGTAAAAGCACCCATGACGTTAAAAACGGTCCTACAACGCTTTTTCACCAAATAAATTACTTCCTTGTAACCTACCTACTTTGTTTAATTTCATTTTTCCTATGAATGAAGATAAGGTAGTGTATGAAACTGCATATAACTTAGGTATTTAATCACTCGACTCTCGTGTTTTAATACCCCTTCTTATTCATATAAGTTGCATAAACTAGGTACTATTTTCTGACTTGTGGCTATTAGCTAGTACATGATTTTACATATCACATATTCAAGGTGGTTCGTTAGAATTCATAATTATTAATGTCTCAAGCAATCGTTACCTTTGTGGTACCAAAAATAGATCAAACACGTTATCAAAGGAACACCATTCGCCGATTCTGAATTACACAATCTGCTATAACTCGGTAATTGATTGAAATTAGAGATCTTACGCTTTTTAAAAATTCATCATCGGGATTAACAGGATGTTTCAAGTGAGTATAACAACATTTTTTAGGTAATCATAAAAAAATAACAAACGCTTTTAAGCTCCACAATTGCAGACCTTTTTGTGTCGTAGAGGGACTGCATTATCCTCATATAACCGCAAGGATTCTTTTCGGGTGCGACCACCACACTCTAACTATGACTCTAGCTATAGGATACGATACTTAGTTATGTTATGGCGATATTACGTCACATTTTACTACTTTGACATGTCTTTTGGTGGATAAACGTCTACACCCTATTGAACAAGCGTCCATTAAGATTTAATGACGACTTTAATATCCAATGAATGTTTTAAATTTGAAATTATGTGTTAATGATAAAATAGCTTTACGGTCAGTTGCACAAACATCTATTAAGGTTTAATGAAGTGTTTAAGTTATAATGAATGTCTAATATTGTATGGGTAATGCTACATTAATTTAATGGACATTTGTGTAACTGGGTGTTAATCATTTCTCCACCAAAAGATATGTCAAAGTAGTTTATTGAAACGATATATCGCCAGCACAGCTAGGTGGCGTAGTGGATAAGCGCCGCGGCCCGCGATCGTTGTCGTTAAGCAACTTTCGCAAGGGTCGGTCACGGGATGGGTGACCAAAAAATTATTATCTCGAGCTTTGGAAGGGACGTTAAGCTGTTGGTCCCGGCTGCATTTGCAGTCGTTAATACGGTCTGAAGATCTGAGCCTCTGCAGTGGGGACGTAAAAGGGCTGATGATGATATATCGCCATAACACCATTAAGATCTCGTAACCTATGGCTAGATTTATAGTTAGAGAGTTAGATGGTCACAATACTGGCCTCTGCGCTCGCTCTACGTCGGCTTTGCCAGCCAATGCCCCATCCTGTCCCCGAGGGAACATTGGTCCTAAAAAGGACCTTTTATGACAGATTGTCTCGGGGCGCAACGAGCTTCGCGGAGACGCTTTTTGTTATTTATATCAGGAGTTCTCAAACTTATTTGAGAATATTTTTTTAACGCCCCAATTTTTTATCCGACTGCAAAGGAGCTTACTTGTATGTATATAATATTCTTTATTACCTTATATCTCCAGAACCGCTGTACAGATTTAGATTATTGAGGTATTGTTAGCTTTGTCTTAGTACCTAGCCCAAGTGTTCTTAGATTTAAAAAATACAATGTGGTGGTTGTGTGAAAAAGTTTAAACATATGGACTTCTTTTTTCACTTTCTGAACAAATCTGCGTAAAAACTAATTGAAAAGGCTTGAACAAGATAAAAAAAAAACTATGCAACATCATACATAATATGCAGTCTGAGGCAAGTCTAAAGAAAGATTGATTTGACTTATCAATTTAATGCCTCCGACTGCATGTTATGTATAACTTCAAATTAAATTATTATTGTGAGTTATATTAGCGGAGATTAACCATTAGAGTTAATTCGAGACCTGATTGCAGTAGGTTGCACAACACAAGTCTCAAGTTAACTCTTCGTAAGCCTCTACGCTACAACCCGTTTCTGGGTCTATTACCCCTCTAGGCCTACAGTGCCCACAAGGGAGCGTTATCGCCCCTTTTGGGAAAAGCTAATTATATCATCATATACCTATACACCATCAATCCGTTCAGTATACGATCTTCGTGGCAGAACTCTTGCGGTATTTCTTTGCAGGCGGCATATTTTGTGGCTTTATAATTTTCTTCTTTTCCCCATATACAACTAAGTTAAAAAAGCTTGATTCTTTTACTTTCCTCACCACATTATACTTAAGTACATTACAACACGTACTTTATAAAATCCGGTATTTAATCGTACTGTAGATAGGTAGGTACCTATCTATATATTGTAATTTATGAAGTCGCGTTGCTTTCATTTCCAATAACCTTATCAAAGTAGATGAACAATATGAAAGTGTCCAAACGCATTACGTTTAAAGAAGATAATGGTAAATATCAAAGGTTTTTATTAAAATAATTTGATTTATTAAATAACTTAATACTGATATGAAAAGACCCATTGTATTGGAAACACATTAAAAGAAAAAAATAATTAAATCCATTATGCATATCCATTTCACTTAACGCTTTAACTAAAAAGATTTTATGTGAAAATGTCACTGGATCCTTAAACGGATCTGTGGCCTAATTGTCTAATTTGAAAATATACCGATTATAATTAAGATACCGATTCATGAGATTGTTTATCTTCTAAAGTTACTATCGCTTATGGAACGATTGATGATTTGAATGATTAAGAAGCTACTGGCCGAGAGATTGCAGATAGCGTTTGGTTTGTTATTTCTCAACAACTTTCTAAGATATTTGCGTCTAACACTTGCCTTAGACTATTCCAATTTAAGTTTAATTACAGATTACGAAACCGTTTATTACATATAAAAAAAATCGCTATCTTTCTCTTGACAAATTATTGATTGCGATTGATTTTAAAATGAGGCAATTAGGCCCCTAACGGAAGGATCATCTGATTTTGAACGCCTAATATTATCATAAAATAGATAAATTATAGATCTAAGTAATATTATTTTATGCAGATGTCATCTTCAAACCGTTTCACGACACATTCAGGAAGATTTTCTTCGGACTCACTATAGGATTAATGTATCCTAACCCGGCGACAGAGAAGCTTCGCTTGAAGTATATAAGTAAGTATAATATATGTACGTTTTTTTTTTAATGATCAGTTGAATGCAGTTTGATAAAACTTGGACTTTTTGCCTTTTGAAACGTAAAATCTTTCAAAATATAGTGAAATACGAAGAAGAATGTTTTTTGTGTCACATAAAGGTCATTAGGTAAATACAAAAAAATATATACTAAGCTAAACAACTTGTTTGGAACGCGGATCAAATATAAACACGTACTTAAAACAATGTTATTTTATACACAACAATTATGGAGCGATTTGCAACGATTTTATTTTAGTAATTTTGAAGATATTATCTACTAGATGATCCAGCGAACCCCATATTTTATTACTCCAGTCGCGACTGAGGATTTTTTTTGTAGCAGTGCGCGGTTAATTTTTATATATCAACGCTGAAAAGTAAACACGTAGTAACCCGCAAAACCAAGTGTTCTTCAGGGCAGAAAACTTGCATTTTTTCGACAAATAATTCCTATAAACGCCCATGGTAACAAATAACGTTTTTTTTTGAAAAATTATAAAGATTTTCCACTTCAAATATCCATTTTGGTTTTGCAGGTTGCTACGTGTTTGCTTTCCAGCGATATAGATAAAACTTTTAAAGGAACAAAAATATTTTTAAAACGAAATTATACCGCCCATAAAAAAGCTTGACAAAAGTGAAAATCAATTTGGAAAACTTGTATTGAAGTCTGGCTGTTAATATTAATAACCCACACAAAAGGCCCACCCGACTTGAATAGAAAATTCTCGAATTCATTTATTTAAAGAAAAAATATTATTTTGTTTTGCAGTGTTAATAATGTTGCTGTCCCTGCCTATTAGTCTTATGATATTAATAGACATGTACAAATGTTGGCAGGAGAGTGATATATTCAATATAATAAGGCATAGTACGATTTTAGGGCCTTTTTTGGGAGCGCTACTTAAGGTGTGTAAGCTTACTTATTTTTTTTGTATTTAGTACATATACGAATGTTCTAATTATGTTAAACGGCGGTCGCCCGGATTACAAATGGTCGTGGGTTCGAGTCCTATCACAGAGTACCCGGGGCAAGTGGAATTTTAAGCATTTTACAATAAGAATATTTTTTAGTATAGCGTTGTGATTGCAAAGTTGCCCAAATATAATATAATAAATAAGTTTTTTTTTTATTAAATGAAAATAAATAAACAATAATAGATAAAAATAGGAAACGTGTATTAATAAAATTTTCTAAGCACATAAGGCATTTTTAAGGAATATTTCAGATTATCCTTATGTACTACAAGAGGGTGCAAGCAAAATATATTATTGACGAAATTAATGAAGATTACGAGAGCTACAATCGGTTACCGATGGAACTACAACAGGTTGCATTACAATCCATAAAAAACAACGTTTTTTATGTGGAAAAATTGTGGCCCTACGTTGTGAGCACAGGTACCCTCACTTTCCCCATTATTGGGGCAACATTCACTTTACTCAGCTATTTGACACAAGAAGAGCCAAAGAAATACATGGTACACGATTTGAATTTACCATTCAGACCGGCTGATGAAAGATTTGAATCTCCATATTTTGAGTGTATGTTTGTGTATATGGTTTGGGCCGCTTTGATTTGTATTTTTAATTACATCTCTTATGATGGATTCTTCGGCATGGCTTGCCTACATGCTTGTTTAAAAATGAGGCTTTATTGCAAGAAATTAGAGCTTACTTTTCGATCTGACGACGATAATAAATATAGCCATTTGGTCAAAGTAATTGAGGAGCAACAGAAAATGTTCAGGTATGTGACTCATTTCTTTCTTTTGATTTTTAATTTCTCAATAGATTTTATTTTGCTTCTCAATTGGAGAGGAGTCAAGACAAGAATCAATATGCAGAAAAGCAGAAGCAGAGGGAAGTGGAATTTTATATCAAATTAAATTCTATTGAAGCGAATCGGAATGGAAAGGAGCAGAAGTGCATAGAAATTGAACATAATAGTGAGAGAATACAAGGCTCCGCTTTGTTCCACACCGCAAAATGTCCTTGTAAAATAACAAATAGGGCGTTTGTGCATTACACTGCATTTTCAGGTCCAGCAATCTTTAATTCTCCGCTTACACGGCACTAATTTCGATTGGTTTACGAAATGGCGTCAACAATTGGTCTATGTCTGTAATCGCTTAAAGTTGTTTTTACAAAATTTCGAAGAAAAATAGCACGATTATAAATTTAAACATCAAGTACTACGACTAGAACATTATCAGTAATTTTATTAAAATGTCACAGATATTTTTAGTTATTGTATGTGTATGCTGTACGTAAATTAGTAAGAGTATAAGTTTTTAAATCTGATAGAAGTCATCCGATAGTTCAAGTTCTTTCGTCCTGCCTCAATCTACGAGTATTATAGTTTAAGTTAAATGACACTGTCAGGTCATTATTTAGATACCTTTCACTTATAAGGAGATGAGCCCAATTCTTTTTCTACGTTTTCGCACGTAAAGTAATAAAGCAAGCAATAACAGACGTTCCAAAAATCTCATCATACCTAGCGCAAGTGACGTGTAGCTTCAAAGAGAGCTGCCCTACACTGCACTGTGCCGCTCCGATCCGGAAAAAAGCGAACAAGTGCAAAAGCTACTCATCCGGGTTTGTCATGTCATTTCGGACCGTAAAACATTGGACCACTGGGCCTGAAAATTGAGGGTAGTGCACAAACGCCTACATTCAACCAAAAGACGTCACCCAATCCGCCCTGACTTCAGGACCGAGATGTCTAACTAACTAGTGCATCGAGTTGAAGATTTACACTTATTCTTCGTTAATTTAAGTCTTACCTAAGTCCTATGTGCATGTATCTAATATTTTTCTATTATCTGACTGACGGAATGAATAAAATTTCTTTTTTTTTACCTTATCCCTGTTCAGTACAGTCTGTTTTTGTTTCAGATACGTCGCATTGATTCAAGATACTTTTAATATATGGCTCGGAACTATAGTCGTGTGCACTATAATACAGATCGGATCTCTCCTATATCATGTGTCTGCTGTGAGTTTTTAATGAGGAAATATTAAAAAAAAACATTAGCTCCCAAAATCAAACTAGATGTCACTACGGTACGTTCTTGATTACTCCATGACAAACTTTCCGGTTTTCTTTCAAGTTCAAAAGAAAATTAGTTTTCAAAACTCAATAAACAACTCATATTCTATTTGTACTTTTTCGTATCTGTATTGATATCTAAGTTTCGAACTTTTCAAATTTTCTAATATGTTACTTAAAGGAACGGAAATGACTGTTTTTGGTCCATTCGTTTCCTGCGTATATCAACTTTTGCTAGAGTCGCCATTTAGTGGGGATGCTTTTTTAGTGCTTTCGCTTTTTTTAATACGTCTTCATAAGAACGCGGTAGCTGTTATTATATATATCAAGCGCAATTCCTCAGTTATTTGACAAGACGGATTTTGAGTTACACTTTAAGCATGAAAAGCGGGCAAATGAGGTAGGTAAGAGTAATTATTTAGTTTTGTGATTGGTGCAAATAAAGTTATCATTCATTCATGCAGTATAGTCGTCTATAGTCTATACTGTAGTCTGTCGGCCGCCATCTTGAACTAAGCTAAAACTGTCAGCGGTTGCTTTCAAATTGTGCTGACGTACGTGTGTTTTGTATTAATACTTTGAATGCCAGCTGGAAAAGCTGATTTTCTGGAAATGGCAAAATTGTTGTTTCTTTAAAATTAGATTAAGCTTGCTAATCTTTGACTACACTGAATTTTCAGGTCCGGCGGTCCGATTTTTTCCGGTCCGGAATGACATGAAAAACTCGGATGAGTAGCTTGTGCACTTGTCCGTTTTTTTCCTGATCGGAGCGGCGCAGTGTAGTGCAGCTCTCTTTGAAGCTACACGTCACTTACGCTAGGTACGATGAGATTTTTGGAACGTCGGTAATTCCGTTCGAAGACGTAGAAAGGTACCTAAATAATGATCTGATCGTTTTACATAAACTATAATAAATTATGGCAAGACGAAAGCATTTTTTTTACTACTATCGAATGACTACTATCAGATGTAAAAACTTATACCCTTACTAATTTAGGAACAGCATTATTCACATACAATAGCTAAAAATATCTGTGACATTAGAATAAAATTACTGATAATGGTCTAGTACTTGATGTTTAAATTTTTTAAAGCGTGCAATTTTTTTCGAAGTTTTGTAAAAACAACTTTCAGCGATTACAGAGATAGACCAATCGGTGGCGCCATTTCGTAAACAAATCGAAATTAGTGCCGTGTTAGCGGAGAATTATTATGATAAATGAACTTTACGAGATCAGTTGACTGTATTATATACAGGCATAATTTTATACGCGTGGTGTAGTTTCTTTGAGCAGAAATATTATTAGCTTAGAATACTTCTTTTTTAAAATTTATTAATGACACAAACATACATTAAAAATTTTATTAAATGCGAATAAGACATTGAGTGTCACTTAATTACTTTTGTTAATCTTCTGTTTATTCTTTATTATTACTTCTGTTGTCAAATATTCATCTATACTTATCAATTGTCTAAAAAAAATTTGATAATAACAAATTTCCAGGCAAACTGTCATCCCCTATTTTTCTCGATAAAATGTAGCCTATGTCCCTTCGTAAAGTTAAGTCTACTTACTATATTAATTTCCATTTAGATGGGTTCAGTTGTTTAGGCGTCTAAGCGTAACAACACTTATTTATCTTACCTTAAGCTATCGATACTTTTAATACGATTCTAAAATCTAGCTAAGTATCGATACTAGAACCATACGCTGATCAAATTAGAACTATACCGAGTTTGCCAAAGCATATGCAGTGATATATACCAACTATATTAAATCATCATATAAAATATAGCATTTTATAATCAACAATAAATATCGATTATAAGTTTATTGGAAATTAACAAAAATTGCCGAAATAAATATCGATTCAAATCGATAATTTTTTCCCAAGCCTATTCCTTATGAATTTTCCGGATCTCGGACACAGCAGTGCACAAGCGTAAACACGTTTTTCATTGCCGCCATCACGGACCTGAAAAAACCGGTCCGGAATAGAGAAAAGTAAAATTCCGGACGGTAAAATTCCTGACAGTGCACAAGCGCGCATTACTTACATATGGTCTGACATATCGGACCTGAAAAAATCGGACCGCCGGACATGAAAATTCTCCGGGCAAAGCGGACATCTTAAGCTTTGAAAGACTATGGAATGTGATCTACTAGACATAGAAATAAAATAGTGACGGAATATGAATCAGTCTTTATTAAAGTTTAAAAGAAATCAACAAACAAAAACGTAACTTAATAACTTTTCTTAAAAAATTTGATTAAATTGCATCCTTCGCTTCTATCCGTTTTGCCCAACCCATCGGGTAAAGTGGATAGAACCAAAGGGCAAAGTGAACACAATCAGACTAGGAACAATTACGAATAAAATATATAGTAAAGATAACAAAAAAAAAAACAAAAAAGTAACTAATCACTTATCAGTACAGTTATCACAAAGAAAAATGCCCTTTCCCTCATATGCCGTGCATTTCTCGTGGCTCCATTTATTGCAGGAACTGCATTGGATCCAATCATCAACTGGCTGCCCATTAACTTCAACATAATTTTCCCCACAAAAATAGCACGTGCAGTTTTCGTCATTTTCTTTAGTTTAAAATTTCTTAAGTTTAGTGTTTCTCGCTTCAATATTTTTGGTTATGTTGGTCTTTTTCTTCGGTCTAGTCTTTGTTTTTAAATTTTTGTTAATATTTTTTAATGCTTTGGTATTTGCTTTAACAAATTTAACTTTCTGTTCTCCCTTAACCGGTGTGCTAGTAAGCACCTCAGACCTTTGAATATATCTTTTTCGTGTTCCCATGGGAACGTAAGGACTTGGAAGTGGTCTTATTTCTCTTGGACTCAAATAAGCGGCAGGTGAAGTCTGATATATTGCAGGTTTTTTATTTGAAAGTAAAGTCGAAGTACTCATTAAATCTGTAGCACTGATCTCTGCTTTATTAGCTGCTGGAATGACGTGGTCATCAGTAACATTAGGTGTGCATGATCTTGACCTAGTTTGATCATAGATTTCTTCGGAGATCAATAAGTTATCTTTTGATCCAGAGGTGTGCTGAATGTCAGAAGTAAAATATCTAGCAGGGCTTTTAGAGATTTTAAATGGATCTTCTTGATTTACTTCTGGAATTATTGTTGGCGATACTCCTCCAGGCTCGCTAATTCCGGGACAAAAGACAGACTCCAACGCCGAATCATTCGTTTCTCTCATTGTTGAGGTATGAACTTGAACTGTTACACAAATAGGTCCAGCAGGTTCGACCTCTTCGTCACTAAAATCATGATCGTAAATTTCCGAAGCTTTATTTGGTCCAGATGAACATTGAAACCCTGACGTCGTAGGCACCGCGCCATGGTCTACCGTTGCAGTTAACACATCTCGATTAGTTGTTTCATGAAATGCTGCTTTTGTATTTGCGGTATTAGGTTTCATCATTGTTGTAGAGGATGGTGCATAATCCTTATCTTCCCATATATCCATATTAATTGGCCAAATTCCTGGAGATTGAAACCCTTTAATGGCATTATTGGCAGTAGCACTTTTTAAATATGCTGGAGTAAATAATCGAGCCACATCATTACTGGGCAAAGTGGATACCATATCCACTTTGCCCGTGTTCGCTTTGTGCGACAGGTACTTTTTGAACGAAAACTAACCTACAATCAAATCCAGACACAATAACTTAATGAATATCGCAGTAATTCAACAAGAAAACATGCACTTTACGTCAATAATGATTCCAAAAGAGTAACACTATAGGCACAATAGTAATAATTAAAAGAAGTACCATAAAATATCGTAACAAATTGTGATATTATTATTTTTCGCCTTTTTTTCACAAACGACGCGCGACCTTGCGTTTGCTCTGCTTGTTTACGACTGAGGAGAGGGGGGCGGACCTCATGGCAAGCTACGGACTTGCACGAATACGCCATTTTGAAATAATGTGAGGTATTCACTTTGC